CTGGGTTATGAACAAGATAGGTTTTATAGGTTTGTTCTTAAGTTGAATTTGTATGTAAGTCAAAGCAGGTACATTTGTCTATTACCTGTGGTAACCCCCATTCAACTGACTCATACGTCAGTTGGATTTTGTAACCCAGGAACTTACTATAAGAGCCTCCGTTCATAAATGCGAGTTGCAGGTATAAGTTGAATGTTTATAACTCAAGGACTGCGTGAATTGTGTACTGAGCCCTGACAATGGAAATTAAAAAATTTTCACATCCATCCAATTAATCCTTGGGCTTGACTAATATGCTAGAGTGGCTCACAGAACTCAGAGAAACACTGACTACAGTTTACCTGTTTATTATAAAGAATATTACCAAGGATACAAATAAACAGTCAGATGAAAAGATACACAGAGCAAGATCTGAAATGGTTTTAAGTGCAAGAACTACTGTTCCCAAGGAGTTGGGATGTACCACCCTCCTGGGCACATAAATGAGTTCTTGGTTACCTTCCTGCAAGCTTCATGTTTAATTGTCCAGAAGTTTTGTATATCCCATGTTTTGTGTCTTTCCATGAAGTCTTCCTTAGATAGGAATAATTGACCCATAGACAACTATGACAGACTGAATGGGGAAACTCAGCAGGCTCTATCTGTTGAGATGATTCTTGGCCTGTCTGTAGCATTCCTTCCTCCAAGGTATGGGGCAGGTCTCCTTCTGAAATGAGTATTTTATGACCTATAATCAGGAAAGATAAATTAAAGAATTTCTTTACGACCGTAAGTGAGCAAAAGTTAAAGAATATATTTAGTTTCCAAAGCCTGCTTTGAGAATAAAAAAGAAGCAGGTAAACAAAGAGCAGGAGAAAATCAGAAGCCCAAAACATCCCAATATAGAAAGAACTATGGGAGTGATGATACAAGAACCATGGATGAAAACCAATATATAATCATGAACTTCCTTCCTTCTTTCCTTCCTTCCTTTCTTCCTTCCATCCCTTCTATTGATTCCCTCAAGGGTAGCATGGCCACAATGACCACAGATTCTCTCATTTATCTTCAGCATGGGAAGGATCTGACTATCAAAAGACATCTCCTGACACTCTTTAATAACACTTGAATCTTCCCAATGCTCTCTTCGGAGCTCCAGTCACATCTTTGTTCCTCAGGCTGTAGATGAGGGGGTTCAACAGGGGTGTGAGGATTGTGTAAAACATGGAGAGGACTTTGTCCTGGGCAGGTGTGTTAACATGTGGGTATACATGGCAGCCCCATAGAACAAGGTCACTACAGTCATGTAAGGTGAATATGTGGAATGTACCTTCCTCCTCTCCTGCACTGAGCTCATGCAGTGGACTGGTCAGGATTTGGGCATAGGAAGCAATCACCACAGAGAAAGAAATCAGCAACATCAAAACACAGCACGTATACATCACTGTCTCATAGAGGGCTGTGCCTGCACATGCCAATTTCAGGACTACAGGTGCATCACAGAAGAAATGGTTAATCTCCTGGGAATTGCAGAAAGGAAATCCTAGGTGATGGGGGTTAGGAGGAAGCCATCCAAAGGGCCCCCAAACCAGGAACTTGGTATGATTGACCAATAGACCTGGGTTTCAGTGACTACCTAGCAGTTTTATGCTCTAAAGCCCAGCAGCAGAAACATTTTTATTTTGTATCAATTCATCTGTGGAATTTTTTTTGCCAAAATATTCAAGTTCTAGGTATTTACTTGGGATGGTCTTTGCAACGTCCATTTGAAAATGTAGTATCTCAATTTCGACAGATTACTCTTAGTGTGATTTTTTTCCAGAACAGAATACATTGGCAATATTACTTTTCTGTTTTTATACAAGACACATCACATTGTTGACTCGTTATAATATACATTAAAACTAACAGTTGTATTTTCACATGAAACCTTTCACATGAAAGGTTTTCAAGCCAGGTCAATATAGAATTGTACAATTTTGAAACTAAATACAAAACATGTTTCAAATTTTTGTGTTCTCGAATTGCTTAGTATTTGAAGAAGTTGGAATCATTAAGAATAAGCTATTAAATAATAAGATTAAGCTATTAAAATAAACACTATCAAATTATTAAATAATAAAATAATATAAAATGTTCTTGCATCCAGGCAACATGGGAATGACAAACCACATTCTTTTGTCAGTCACATACCATTCCTACCAGAACCTGTGAACAGAACATAACCCAGCTGTTCCATAACAGCTATAGGAAACTCCTGTTCCTGATGAGAGCTTATTCTCTGCTTCGGTGTGGCACTAAAATATTGCCTGTGAACTTCTGGTAGGGTAGATCTGAGAAATACAGATGTCTGCA